TTTTAATACATAGAATGCAGTGCACTTTATGTATATTTTGCCTATAATTCTCAGCTAGGATACAACATTCAGAGAGGTTGTTATTATTCTGTATATGTATAACATTGGGTGAGGGTCTCTATATCAGGTTCCATGTTAGACTTGGCAGTTATTTATTTGTATCCCACCTTTATTATTTTTACAAATGATTCAAGGCAGTAAACATATCCAGCACACCTTCTTCCTCCTATTTTCTTCCTGACAACATCCTGTGAGGTGAATTGGGCTGAGAGAGAGTGATTGGCCCAAGGTTACCCAGCTAGCTTTCATAGCTAAGGTGGGACTTGAATTCACAGCCTCCTGCTTTCTAGACTGGTGCTTTAACCACTAGATCAAATTGGCTCACTCTTTTCTCTCTGCTTTCTTACCTCATACTGGAATAAAGAGAACTAACAATTGTTTGTGTTTTGGTAGAGATTGTTAACATTTCAAAATTTGTCTTTTTGTTGTTGTTGCTGCACGTAGCTTCAATTATGGTTGAGGACCATTTCTTTCCCCCACTCCCCCAAGAATGAAGTTCTATCTCCCATTTTCTCCCAAAACAAAGCCAGTGATGAAATCCACAAATACATATTGTGCCCAAAATCAATGGAGGTTACCAAATTGCTGTCTTCCAAGCTTCAGAACATCTATAGCCATAAAATGGAGATGGAGGATTAGTGGAATTAGTCATGTTGAACACCATTGTAACTGTTATAAAGATAATTATTTTCCTCCTTTATTGTTTCCTTCCTCTAGAGAAATCATCCTGTTATAATACCAGCCAGCACAAGTGTTTCTTGTCAGAATATCAACAGGGCTGGCAAGAGAGACACCAAGTTCAAAAACTGACTTAGAAGCCTGTAAAGGTAATCCACCTGCACTTTTTTCCTTTCTGTCTTCCAGATATGCAGCAACATGAGTGTGCTATGAGCTGGAAGGCCCACGATGGAGAGGTTTATTCTGTTGAATTCAGCTATGACGAGAATGCTGTTTACAGCATAGGTGAAGATGGAAAGGTAGGTTTTAAAAAATTGTGGCCAAACTGACATATATGACAGCAACACATTTATTTATATCAGTATTTATATGTCTTTCTTTGGAGATATATTTGGCCCTCAAAATAGCTGGTAACTATATCTGATGAACGTCACATTATCTGGAAAAGACGATGCAACCCTCTGTATCTTTAGAAGTTTCATCTGAAAGCTGTTAATCCAGTGAATCTATAAATCATTTTGAAAACTAACAGATGTCCTAATTTGTAGGGACCCCATTGGTTATGTTTCTTCTGGTATCAGTGATTTTTTTTCTCTGTATCTGTAGGTGCTATTGCAAAGTAAAGAATGCATGTGTATTGTATATCTTACTGGGATCTGTTCTACCATTGTAGTTTATTCAATGGAATATCCATAAAAGCGGATGCAAAATTTCTGAATTTAGTCTCCCTAAAGATGCCACTGGGCCCTTTGTGTTGTCTGGCTATAGCGGATACAAACAAGTCCAATTTCCACGTGGAAGGCTCTTTGCATTTGATTCTGAAGGAAACTACATGTTAACCTGTTCTTCCACTGGAGGTGTTATCTACAAGGTATTAGCTATCGGTTAAGATAATTACATGCTGTCTCTAACAAGAACTGATTTTTTTCATTCTAAACCAGGCCTTCAGCTATGATTTATGAATAAGCATCAATCTAATGGACTTGCATAACTTGCGAAAGCATAAATGGTTTAGAAATCACATGTCTAAGCCAAAACCAAGTAGCCACATTGAAATGTAGTATTATATGTTAATCTGACTACATACAGTGCCTCTGGGTGGAATTTACCAAAGAAGGTCAGAAGGGTTCTTGTAGCCATCTGGATAGATATTGAAAACAGCTAACTACATCAGATAGGTCTTTCCTATGGTCATATATCTTGTTAAAGTTAAAGTGTCTGGGAAACTCATGAGTGGAGACAGAGTAAATGCAGCATATTTTGAGAAATAGAGTGATGAAATTTTGGTCTATTTTATGATCCACGTAGCCTGTGTTGACATTAGTATATATTGTACTTTAATAATCATTCTGGCATTATTTGTCTTAGCTCTGCTCTATGGCTTAAAGTCCAGGGTAATATTCTAATTTTTTTAAAGGACCAGAGTTGCCCTAGAATTTTAGATTCCAGATTGGTAAGTGGTTTCTACCATAAAACCTTGCTAATCTTTGATTTATCTTTTCTCTATTTCAGCTAAATAGCAATGACAAAGCACTAGAGAGCTGTCTTTCCCTTGGAGGACATAGGGCTCCAGTGGTCACTGTGGACTGGTGCACAGCCATGGACTGTGGGACCTGCCTCACTGCATCCATGGATGGGAAGATCAAACTAACTACTCTACTTGCACAGAAGTCTTAAATGAAACTGTGCTCCAAGATGTGAACAATTTTTTTTTACAGAAGAATGAATGATCAGTATTAACTATTATATTCAAACTTTTGTAGGGAGGGAAGGTTTAATCATTTGTCTTAATGTCATCATCTCTTTTTAAATTAGGAGTTAAGTTTAATTGCCAAACTACTGCCACTTAGAAGAGTACATTCTAACAGTTCATTTCAACAAATATTAAACATTCCCCGATCATCAAGTTTCTTTCAGTAAGGATCAACCCATTTTTCCCCGTGGTCTTCATTAGCATAGAGCCATAATTCTCTGGGTTAGTCCCAAGATGGAGTACAGATTTGTTGTGGATGTAGCAGCTGGGAGATGGAGTGGGAAGTCTTGTTCAAAACTCTAACAGTATTGACTGCATTTGTACTAGAAGAAAACTTGATTGCCTTTACATTATGTTGCTTTGATTGTTTGAAGAACATTCCGTGCTATGCTCCTAGAAGAAAAAAATATTATATCATTCATAGTGTTTATTTTCCTTTTGAGTTTTGGACATCTGATATAGACTACAAAAAGCATATGATAGTAAAATGTTATGAAATGGCATTTGTTCATTACTAATCAGTTCATCCTAATTAAGTTCTGTTACGAAAGCAAGCAAGCCGAGAGTTTTATAGAACTCTCGTTTACTTTCTTCTATATTTCTAGAAATTTGCATGTTTGGAGAGGATAAGAATATGCTGTACACAATGAAACACACACCAGCATATGATACCTTGGATTTGTTTTTATGTCAATCCATAATTTTTTAGGTGTACTTATAATGTGAATAGTATTCTTGGTCATCAGCCTGAGTTCACCAAATGCAGTTACACTCAGAAATACATCTAAGGAGGCACAGCTATGGCCTTCAGCTGTAACAGGTTGAATACAACAGAATTCCAAGCATAAGGTGTCTTATAAAAAAATAAATGTGGTTTGGCTAGTACTGAAGATGGTTAAAAGAAATGGAGAAAAGTTCAGGTCTACAGCCTATAATAATTTAGGGTCATTCTATTTTTGTTAGGGCGGAGATAGATGAAATGGCACCGTTGCAACCATAGCATGCTTATGGAAGTGCAATATAGACCGATTAAAAAGTGGGGGAGGGGAGCCCAGAATGATCCTCTTAAAGCTGAATATTGTCATTATTGGTAAGGTCTTTTTCACTGGAGGAAAAGCGTTGAGCAGATAGAATTTCAAATGGCAGCAACCCACACTGCAACAGTTTGAAATCTGAGTTGGATATGCAGTTTCCATACTTAAGCATTCCTGTAAATAGAAACTAATATGTGGAGTTCAAATGTGGCTGCATTCCTATGACAAGTTTTATGGTTAACAATTAAGGTTTATTAATGGCTTGACATTGCACACCAAATCATGAACTAACTACGTTAATTTCATTAAAACAAAACCCTAGTCTAAAATACAGGTAGTCCTTGAGTTACAACCACAATTGACCCCAAAATTTCTGTTGCTAAGTGAAACATTTGTTAAGTGAGTTTTGCCCCATTTTACGACCTTTCTTGTTACAGTTGTTAAGTGAATCACTGCAGTTGATAAGTTAGTAACCTGGTTGTTAAGGGAATCCAGCTTTCCATTGACATTGCATGCCAGAAGTTCACAAAAGGTGATCACATGACCTTGGGACATAGCAATGGTCATGAGTATGAACCACTTGTCAAGCATCTGAAATTTTAACACATGATCATGGGGATGCTGCAAAGATCGTAAGTGTGAACATGTCACCTTTTTCATTGCCGTTGTAACTTTGAACGGTCACTAAATGAACTGTTGTAAATTGAGGATTACCTGTACAGATATTGTATATTTCAATATCTTGTGTAAACAGCATAGGAAATTAAGGGGAAGAATAAATGTGTGTCAGATTTCTTAGAGGAAAAAATCAAGTATATTTAAAAACTGCACCTAAAAACCCTTTTTATCACCTTAAAAAGTACCTAATTGTGATAAATGAGAAATGTGGACATTTCCGAGATCAACCTATAAAATGATATAAAAGGAACTGGCAATTATTCAAAGGACGGAGGAGTGGGGGGTTACCACACGACATTTGGATCAGTGAGTTTTCAAACTGTATCTTTAAGGTATCCCCTCCCTTGAGGGGATTTGGGGAATTGAAGTCCACACATCTTAAAGGTGCCCAGTTTGAAAAAAAAAACACCTGGTTCTGATCATTTTTTCCCCTTCTGGCGAAGAGCTTTAATCCAGGGGTCTCCAACCTTGGCCGCTTTAAAACATGTGGACTTTAATTCCCAGAATTCCTCAGCCAGCTTTGCTGGCTGAGGAATTCTGGGAATTGAAGTCCACAGGCCTTAAAGTGGCCAAGGTTGGAGACCCCTGCGTAATCTAGTGGACGCAACACACGTCTCATTCTGCTTCCGGGTGTCTCCTTAAAATTCAAGTCCCAGGAGTTCCTGTTGTGCAACTCACGTGACGGAGTCAATCCTCGTTTCCGGCGCTGCTCATCCCTCCGCCCCTCCCTCCCCGGCTGCCAGCGGAAAGGTTGTTTATGCTGTTGCTTTGTGTTTGGAGGTGCGATGGGGGGGGAGGGTTGTTTTTCTCCCCCCCCCCACTTCTATGAGCACTTTTCGAGGAAAGCCCCCGCCCTTGCTCCGGCTTTCCATTCTATCCAAGCGACGCGAAGCATCTTCACTCGCAGGGCGGTCTTTTTTCTTTTAAAAACTGGGCTTTATTGGGTCTTACGGATCCCAGCTTGAGATATTTAAAAGAATAACTGCACAGCTTCTCGCCCGAGGAACCGGGAGCAATTGGATTCAGCCTGCGGTCTTGTGTGGTGGTTTGGGAAGAAGAAGCGGTCACGGAGCATAGTGAACCTGACTAATATAGGCTGAATTAAGTGCACAGCACTATTCGTGCCTTTTCTTTTTTATATGTGCACCAGTGGTAATTTTGTGGTGGGGGCTTTGTATCATTCTTGTGCCTGGTCGTTATGGCTCCCAAGTACATAATGCAAACGAGTTAACATTGCCTGTTGTGATTAGTGATGTCGGTAAATCTCTGAAATATTCGATGCCTGAACAATTTAATGCTGGTTCTCATCCAGAACTCCCACTTTTTTTTTTCTTTCTATTTAGATTTGCAGCATAATACCATGGGAGAGAGTGGAGAGGCCCTTATTATTGGACAAGTTCCAACACTGGGTGGATTTGGCCCAATTTAGGAATTGTATGTCCCACAAGTGTCTATAAATCCCCAAATTCAGATTGTTACAGGTAAGGAGTTATAGCAGAGGTCTTCAAACTTGGCAGCTTTAAGACTTGGCTGGAGAATTCTGGGAGTTGAAGTCCACAAGTCTTAAAACTGCCAAGTTTGAAGACCTCTGAGTTATAAAGATTGCCTCCTTAACTCTTAATGCAAGAGACTCGGGAGCTTGTTGTGTAGAAGCCAGAAGCAGAAAACCTTTTGGTCCAGGGATGAACATTGGAGGGGGGGGGGAGGGCTGAGTGGGAGCAAATTGAAGCAACATAAAAACTTCAGTACCTGCCCTTTATTTAGAATATTTTAAACTGTCGAGCTCCATCTGTTATTTTTTCTACATATATGCTTGTCCCTGCAAGTTATTGAAAAGGGAACACAAATGGAGTGGACGATACTTAACTTTCCTCCCCACAATCTCTGGTGACTCTGAATGTAATTGCATAGTTTTATTTATTTTTTAATATATTTATAAAATAAAGGGTTAGCTGGTCAGCTATGGCAAAGATGAGCCAGTTTGTTTTTTGATTGACACACCAAAAGTAGTTTCAATTGCTCTGTTTGCTGCCAGTTCAGTTATTGCCTATGGTTACCACCAAATGACTGAGATATTTGTAAACATTGTCTTGGAGAGGAACAGTAGGCTGCATGGAACCCTTAATTCAATTGCTAAAGTTTAATTTCAAGTGTTCTTGTTGCACAAATTGTTCTCTTTCTTCTTGAATTAACAGAAATGAGTTCCCCTGAGGCAGCAAAGAAGAGGATCCTCCCAGCATGGATGACCAAGAATATAGCTGAACCAGAAGAATGGGCAAAAATGAGGTCAAAGAGAAAAAAAAAGACAGCTTTAGCAAGGTTTGCTGCCTACCTGTTTCTTAAAAATCAGAGAAGAATGGGTTGTTCTAAAACTTCCTTTTCTACCCTCAAACGCCAAATTGGGAGGAGGGTTGGGTGTGTGTGTGGTGTGATGTGTGTGTAGAACTGTTGATAGACTAGGGGACATCCAATCAGTGTGGACCCTTAGTGGTTACATCAATAGATTTTTTCCAGAATTGTAGAACTATCACATTCTTTGATTTCAGCTTTATCTTTTTGTTTTTTATATCCTTAAATAGTCACGCACATGTATACTCACACACATCCAATATAGTCCATGGAATCAGTTTGTGACTAATTAAAAAGGTATTTGCTATGGTTTTACTGTTTACAGAATATGTCATCCTAAATAGCTAAACTCTGGGCCTAAATACAGCCAATTGTACTGGGTGATCTTGAAAGTTTGACTTATATTTTATATAAGGCCCTACATGACTTAGGTCCGGGATATTTGCAGGGCCTTCTGCCTGCCTCTCACCGTCCTGTTTGCTCACATAGGGCTGCTCTCCTCAGGGTTCCGACGGCGAGCCAATGTCGTCTGGTGGCGCCCAGAGATAGGGTGTTCTCTGTGGGTGCTCCCACCCTCTGGAATGAGTTGCCTACTGAGCTCTGGACAGCTCCTGATCTCCGCTCCTTCCGTCGGGACCTGAAGACTTGGCTGTTCAAGCAAATAGGCCGACTCTGATTCTGGGTTTTATTATGTATTATTTATTAGTTAATTTGGTTTAAAATGGGATTTTGTTGTACATGTTTTTAACTTGTGTTCACCGCCCTGAGTCCTTCTGGAGAAGGGCGGCATATAAATACATGAAATAAATAAATAAATATTTTAGATTCAGTTGAGGTTAAATTAGGATTAAATGTTAAAAAACTTTCCCTTTACAGTTTGAAGAGTAGGAAACATTTTTAAACAACAGCCACAATTTTGTTATACAGTACAGTGATTGTGGAAGACAGATTACCCAAAATTAAAGGGAGATTACGGCGAAGAGCTGTTTGAGATATAGGAAAGAGCTTTAAAATATTTGAGATGGTTGCCCTGTGGACAAACTGAACTCTTATCTACAACTGCTGTTATCAGTTGAGTATGAAGTAGTTTCTTTGAATTTCGCCAAATTTTGTTATAATGTATGCAACATTAGGTAGACAGTAACTGCCCGCTGGTAATTACCACTAATTGTAATATATTATTTTGTCAGGTTTTATTTTTATTTTGTTACTGTTTTAATGCTTTTGTTTTTTTTTTTAAATTGATTGATGTATGAGTTGGTCTTTGCTATTTTTCCTGACACCAGGGCTAAAATATATATAGTTAGACTGAAATAAATAAGATATACTGAATAAGGCTACAGAGAATTTGACAAGATTTAATGTGCATTTTCTGATATCTGCTGATTGTCTATAAATTGATATTTACTGAAGGGAGGGTTGGTCTTCCTTTTTACTGTACATACTTTACAATATGATTTTCTTTTGTAGGACTGAAACTGTATATTGTATGAATGAAGCAGAGTTGGTCGATATGGCTCTTTGTATTTTAGCTGAGGTGAGCAATGTAAAGATGTTGCCCAGGTGGCAGCTTCTTCCTTTTTCCATATTTCAGTTAATTTTGCCTGAACATCTTGCTCTCTGAGAATTGGAAAAAAGAATTGGGCCTAAATACAGCCAATTGTACTGGGTGATCAAACTCACTGATAAGTTCAAGGACACTTGGGCACATTTCTTTTGACCATCTTTATATATTTATCAACCAGGCATGATTGTAGATATTCTACAATCATTGAGCAGGCATTGAGCATCTCACTTATCCTGATTTAGAGAGCACAAAGAGAAACTTGTGGCTTCATCCCAAAATGAAAGAAAATATGATTGCTTCCTTTTTAGAATTGCAAGACTATAGAAGTTGATGAGATTTCATCAGAAGATAAGGTTCAAGAGCGTCAACAGGAATTGATAGATGGTCATCTTCCAAGGACTGCTCTCAACATTGCCAAGGATCCTCCTGTACCATCCACACCTCCAGATCAGTCAGCTTCTTTAAGTAGCAGTGAGGAGACCAAACTGGAGGAAGATGATGATGCTTTAAAATATGTCAGGGAGATTTTCTTTACATAATTTTAACATTTATAAGCAACATCTAGGTTTTTTAAATTGATAAATAGGAGATACAGCTAGGATAGTGGTGGCTTGTATGCCAGAGGTGAAGTAATGGAAAATCACAATGGTAGGACTTCATGAAATAAACTGATCAGGAGGAGAGACTTTGGAAATCTATTTTTATAATTGGAGATTTAATGGGATGCATTGGGGAAAGAATGGAGGAATATCCTGCTGGGTTCCCTGGTTTGATAAGCACTTTTGTTTTGCTTGACTTTGAAGACTTGAATTTTGTATTTAAAGAATAAATGAAAGTAGTTCTGACTTCTCTTTACACTGGTCATTTTCATACTAAATTAAGAGCTACAGTTTGTTTAATAACAGTTCAGTGTATATGTGCCTAAGGTTTTACTAGTTTGTAAGTTTATACTTACAAACAAGCAAACATTTTGGCTTAGCAAATTGTGTGAATCCAGTCATAGAAAAAGTAGTGTTCCAGCTTCCTGAAGTATCTGACTTAATTGATTCCTGACTCAGAGAATTATTTCTCTAATTTTGGGCTCCCAGAAGCAAAATATGCAATCTTTAGTTCTGTTACATTTTGTAAACAGGTAGTTCTTGCTTAACAACAGTAATTAGGACTGGAATTTCCAGCGCTAAGTAATGCAGTCATAAAATGCAACAACACATGACTGCATCGCTTGGTGATGGCAATCCTAACAGTCCCCTTTGCTGTTGTTGAGGCCCTCACAACTTATTGTCAGTTTTCAACAAAGTCACTGGGAAGTCCCAGGTAACTTGCAAACAGGCCAACAGTTGAACAAGTGGCTGCTGTGGTGTGAGTGTGTGACTTCTGCTGGATGAGGCAGGGTGCACAAGGGACCTGGTGCCAGGGAGGGGGTGTTGTGGGCACATGCTACAAAGTATGAGATTTCTGGTAGAAAAAGGCTTCAGGAATGCAAATGACTGTGCGGGTGTCAGCAACTTGCGGCTCCGGAGCCGCATGTGGCTCTTTCATCTCCTTGCTATGGCTCCCTGTCAGCTGAACCCACCACTGGCTGGCCCCTCCCTGCCCCCCCCTTCCCAGTCACTCCTTGCCTGGTCTGGGAAGATAAAGACTGCGGGAGATGGAGACTCGCTCCATATTCCAGAGCAGGAATGAAGTGCCCCTGTATTTGCCTCATCTCGTGGGTGCTTTTTCCAGTCCTTGTTGGTGTTGTGCACACCTCGGTCGCTTGGGGAGATGCGCGACTTGCTCTCTGCCCTGAGACACTGGCCTGGCCCAACCTGGCTGCGTCCAACGCTGCTGCTCTCACCACCCCCGTGGCCTGCCCACTGCTCTCGCAGCGCCTTACACAGCACAGTTAAATTTAGTGCACTTCACAATGGGGGAGACGTTACCGCCTCCTCATCCTGGAGCTCATTACGATGCAGAGCATCGGCCACAGCTGGGCTGGGCAGTGTCTCGGGGCGGACAGCAAGTCGTCTGACTCCCTGAATGACCAAGGTGTGCACAGCACCAACAAGGGCTGGAAGAAGCACCTTGCGAGATGAGGTAAATACAGGGGCGCTTCGCTCCTGCTCTGGAACATGGAGTGAGTCTCCATCTCCCGCTGTCGTCCTTACCTTCTCAGGCCAGGCAGGGAGGGGAGGGGAGGGTGAGGGGCGGGGTAGGGCCAGCCAGTTCAGATGACAGAGAGCTACAGCAGGGATACAAAAGAGCTTCATTTATCTGGGAACCTGAAATTACTCTTGATTTAAATCATGGTAAAAAGCACCCAAAGAAGAAAAAACATCAGCAAAAAAACCAACCAACCCTTGCCTGTTTTTGGAAATGGTTCAAGAGGGAAAACACACACACACACAAAAGAGAGACAGACAGACAGACGGGAAAGAGAGATGAGAGAGAAAAGAGACAGATTAGAGAGAGAGAGATGAGAGGCGAGAGAGAGAGAGAAAGAGACAGAGTTACCTGTTTCCCACAGAAAACACCAGGAGCCACAAAACCTGGGTAGGCGGCTTCCTCATTGGCTGCTTGTGGGGAGCTCGCATGGGTGGTTGCAAATGGTGATCATGTGGCCCTGTGATGCTTACAGCCATTGTAAGTGCAAGGTGGCTGCCAAGCACCTGAATTGTGATCATGTGATCATGGAGGCATTGTGATAGCCAGAACTATGAGGACCAGTTTTAAGTTCCCCTCTTTTAGCACCATTGCAACTTTGAATAGTAGCTGAATGAGTGGTCAGGAAATGAGAATTACCTATATTTTAATTTATGATTAAATTCCTATGATGCAAGAATTTAATACAATAATAGGGAAAAAATCTGCTAAAGTGCTCAAGTACCCTAAAGATGTGCATTTTTGGATCAGGTTCTTCATTTGTCTTCATTAAATAAGTGTCTCTTCTCCACTGATGTTCAGATCATTTGACAATTAGCCAGGTTATGACTAAGAACCAAGAATTTATCTCAATGCATTTATTACTCATGTGGTAACTTTAAACCACGGATCTGGGACATGTGGTTCTTTTTAAAAAAAGTATTGTGTTAATGTCTGTCAGACCGGGAAAGATATAAAAATGCTATATAGAAAAAAATGTCCTTGACATGCTGCCGTGGTGGCGCAGTGGTTAGAATGCAGTACTGTAGGCTACTTCTGACTGCCGGCTGCCTGTAATTTGGCAGTTCGAATCTCATCAGGCTCAAGATTGACTCAGTCGGTAAAATGAGGACCCAGATTGTTGTGGGCAATATGCTGACTCTCTAAACCACTTAGAGAGGGCTGTAAAGCCCTATGAAGCGGTATGTAAGTCTAAATGCTATTGCTATTTACAAATGCAACTCTGACATATCTATTAATAATTAAGATTGTTTTATTTACGAATTATTTTGTTTCTATCAGAAAGTCAGTTGACAGAAAGATGGACTTAGCATATACTAATATAAAAATACAAATAATTCAGTTTTAATCGAAAGCTCAGCATTTTTCACATACAATTAGAACCCTGGGGAAAGAAACATTTCCCATTTAAGGCTTAACGGCTATACATTGGTATGTAGATAATCTTACCACCATTTTATTTGCACAATAACCAAATATTATTTGCACAATAACCAAATATTAAGAGAGATATACCTATAATACTTGTGGAGACTGAATAAGTCTTCAGTTATGTGGTAGGATTCAACTAATAATCGTTTTCAGCAATGGAAATTCTCTCTTTCTCTCCCTCTCTCTCTCTCTCCCGCTCCCTCTCCCTCTCTGAGTTTATAGGCCATACCATGCTTCGTATGGCAAGGACTATGCTCCAAAAATAGAAGACTAAAAACAGTTTGTGGGAGGATTTTATGGAGCTTTAATGCTTTACTCCTTTTTACCTTAATCCTTTTCTCAAACTTAGTACATTCTTAAATCTAGGTGTGGTTCCTCTTGAGAGCACTTTAGTTGATCTTCCAGCCTTTGAAATAGGGGAAGCTATGCATTAAGTGTATGTGTTAAGAGTGTTACCTCCCTTCCAGTTCACTTATGTTGGAAAGCATTCTCCGCCACTCAACTCACTACAGTGTGTGTTAGATTCAGATGTTGCCTCACATTTGTCACACAAATTATTCCATATCCAACTAAGATTTATTGAACTCAATTTTCTGGGTTCACGCTCAGTTCACTGAACCATAAATAAACAGAGGATGGTGTTGCATGACAAATTCTTGTAGTCTATTTTGCAGTTCAGTGTGTCAATTGAACAAAAACTCATGGAAGGCTCTTGGCAGCAGTGAGAGGTCTCTTATGAAGAGTGTCTGTACTTTGCAAGGTAATTATGAGCAGGTGGTGGAGAAGTAAAACGTAAGCTCCACATAGGGCTGCAAATCCCTCACTGAGTTCAGAGACTTGAATCCATTTCTGACTGGGAAAGATAAACAAAATGAGACCAACAGGCAAACTCACACTGCTAACGGACAGAAGAATCTGAGCCAGTTTCCACCCATCTCTGTCTCTGAAACACAGGGCCTGCTGCATGATTGTACTGGCACTGAAGAGACACAAAACCGGGCTGATATATACACAGAGTCTTGATAGCACCAGTGCAACCTTGCTGATTCCCAGTTTCTCTATTTCTTCGATCATAAGGCAATCCAGTTCTCCTTTCTGATTCCACAAACAGAAATTGTAGAAGCCAATTCTTTTGGTGGGAAGATTGACGATATTCCCAGCTTCCAAGACAAGGGCATATAATAGCAAAGCATTATAACCAATAGCAAGGGAGAAATGACTCAGGTACAAGAGGCAGGAACTGTAGGTTGTCTCTCTTAACCCTTTAATGAATTCAACAATGGTTTTTTGGATCTTCAGCTGCATTTTTCACCTGAATACCTAGCAGAAGAAAGTAAACAGGTTGGCTTCTAGGAACTATGTCTCCACTTTCTCACATACTTCCCAACTGTCTTAGGGACCAGTTTTATACAATGTTATAACAATGTGATGCTAACCACGTTTCTATTATCAACAGTGTTTTTAATAAATTACAATTGCCTAGTTCACACAATATCAAGCCATACATGATGGTTTACAATCTACAGTTGGTAGATATACATCAAACACAAGATCATTCACACTCCTGGAAAGGTTTGGGTGCAGCCACTGAGATTTCCAAAAGTTATTACAAATTGTAATGTGTAAATCAGGGGTCTCCAAACTTGGCCACTTTAAGACTTGTGGACTTCAACTCCCAGAATTCCTCAGCCTGGCTGAACTGGCTGAGCTCAGCTGGCTGAGGAATTCTGGGAGTTGAAGTCCACAAGTCTTAAAGTGGCCAAGTTTGGAGACCCCTGGTGTAAATGATGAAAAGAATTTCATACTGTAGAAATGGAATGAATTTGAATGTTTTTAATTTGCTTGGAGATGCTTCCAACAGAACTTTCAAAGACCAAGTCTAGCTCCTAGCCTAGTTAACATTTTAAAGGGGGAATTATACAAGTTCCTAGATAATAGTTCTAACAATATGTAGTTATATCTTACCTCCAGTTTCATAGGCAATAGGTCCCTTACACCAGGAGCAGCTGAAGCAAATCAGAACATAATCATTGGCTTTCTTCTCCTGTGATTCATGGTGGCTCTTATATTTGGATATTGACTAAAGACATGCTTCCTTTACAAGGTAGAAGAAGCATGTGTACAATACTTACTACACCCTTGTCCTTCAAATTCAGTAGGCAAAGAATGCTCTTTAGGTTGAGGATAAGATCTAAAGGTGAACTAAGCCTGCATTAAAAATGCAACTTCATTCATATGCACTAAAAGAGAAACAAATCTACGGTTTGAAAAGTACGATGAACATATTCAAAATCGCAGGCAACACGCAATCCATCCCAACCGCGGAGCATTAGGATGAGGAAGGCTGGGTTAAAGACCTCGTTCGCGATCTTCTGATTTAGTACCAGAAGAAAGAAAGAAAAAAAAGGAGCACCCAGACCGCTTGCTTTCGTTTGGGGTGCCCGCCGTTGAAGCCAATTCAATTGGCAAACCCGCAGGGGCCTCCGTTCTCTCGGCCCAGTCAGGAGGCGAGGTCGAAAACAGGGGCTGCCAAATATTCCAAGACCATTGCAAAATAACCGAGAAGAATTAAAGAGAGCTCTTGCCTAGCTCTTAATTCCGTATTACAATGGCCCTACACCTCGTGAACGCTTAAAGTGGTAGCCAGGAGTAGTAATAATTTTAAAAAGGTTAGAATACTTGCCGGCGAATCCACAGGCATTCAAGTCCCACTGCTGGAAGGGATCCTGCTTAGAGCTCAGGCTCTCTCACTTTCAGTCTTGTTTACTGCTCGGTCTGTTTTTACTTTTCGGATCACGTGCTAAAGTCAGCCGATTTCCCTTTCGGTTTCGTTTGTGTTCGTTTCTCCGCAATCGGGTGCTTTCCTACCAGAGGTGTGTGTGTGTGTGTGTGTTGTCTCGTGGTTGTTTTCTTGCATTTCCCCCCCCCTCCCCTCACGGGAATCCAGTCATCTTTCAGAAAGTACTGTTTGACATTTTCTTGTGTTTCTCTGCTTTTTAAATAATCACGTCGCAGTTTAGGCACGCCTCTGTAAAGCTCACAGAATTATGAATGTTGTAATTGTGAGAAATACGTCGTTAGAGCGCGAAAGCTCGGTGACAAAGCAGAAATGTCAAGATTGGTTCTTTTACAACCTGTGGACTTCAACTCCCAGAATTCCTGAGACAGCTTGGCTGTCTCAGGAATTCTGGGAGTTGAAGTCCACAGGTTGTAAAAGAACCACAATTGCCCTGTTTTTAGGCGCTTTTGTTTCGGCCTTCCTGGCTTTCGCGAAACACAAAAGGCCCAACGACTCCAAATTTCAGAGTTGGCCTAATAAGCGTTTCTGTAAATAGAGAGAGATAGCAGAAATCATTTGTCGTAGGGCGGAGGTCTCGGCTAGCGCTTCTCGACCTCAGCGATTTTAAGACTGCGAGCTTCCACTCCCAACGTTCCTCAGCCCGTATCAAGTTGACGTTCACGAATCTCAAAAGTTGTTCCAATGGAGAAACCCGGTCTTTTTAAAATGGCCCCGCTAAGTAAGGCACTCCGGTATTTCCACGCTCTTTCCAGGAGAGAGATGGTAGCGATTGGGGTGCGTTGCGCAATCGCTCCTAACACACCGCGCTTCTTAAAACAGAGGTCTTCAAACTTGGCAGCTTTGAGACTTGTGGACTTCAACTCCCAGAATTCTCCAGCCAGCAGCATAGCTGGCTGGAGAATTCTGGGAGTTGAAGTCCACAAGTCTCAAAGCTGCCAAGTTTGAAGACCTCTGTCTTAAAAGATTTCCTCTTAGAAGCAGAACAAGCCACCTGCCTGCAAACGCCAATAGCCAGAGAGCAAAAAACCTTTATGAAAAAGTGTTGTGCCTTCGTGCACATATGCATCAATGTGACACAAGCCACAAAATGCATAAGGTACATTGTTTCTAGGCAGTTATTATTATAACTCTGTTGTAATTGTGGGCTTCCTTCCTGTTTTTTTGTTTTTGCAGGGTTGGGATTTTGTTGCTTGGCTTATCAGGGTTTTTCTTCTTAAGTAGCCCAATTTGAACAAGCAAATTTTTTTTTAATGCTTTCATAGGCGAATATTTCATTGCTGTCTTATTGCTCAGGATCTTTTCACATAAGATCCGAAAAAGCTTACTAAAATCTAAGTGATCCATTCTGCAGCCTAATTTATCTGTACAGCTGGTCCTCATTTACAAGTGGAGCTGGCAACTCCTTGGCTAAGTGACAGATCATAGAGTGAAACATCATGTGATAATTATGATTATAGGACACCAGTTCCAGCTGCAGTTGTTAAGCATGTCACTGGACTGCAGCTTGTATTTTCGTGCTGGCTTCCCCACTGACTTTGTTTTTCCAAAGCCTGCTGTGAAGATTGCAAATGGTGATCATGTGACCATGGGGACAACTTTGACAACTGGTTGGAAATCTTTTTCAGCACTTTGGGTAACTGAATAGTCTCTGAACAAGTGGCCAGTAAGCAAGGACTCCTTTCTTGTTACAGGTATAATGTCTACCCAGCGTAGAAGCCACCTGCTAAGATGAAATCTTAGTGTTCTTTATACTCTTATATCTGAATATGAGCAAGTTCACTTTGAGTGTTGTGTGTGGGTATAGAAATGGAAATGAGATACATTTAATTTTGATTTTCCCTCCTATCTTATCTAAAAAAGTCATGCGCATGTGACCCCCTGTGCTCCATTTTGGGCCTAGTAGGCTTCCCTGCAGCCTCCTGAGAGCAAAAACGGGCCGCGGGGGGCCGCACCACACACCTGTGTCCCGTTTTGAGTCTAGTAGGCCTCCCTGCCTCTCCTGGGAGCAAAAATGGGCCGCAGAGGGAGGTGCGTCACCCCCCTGCGCCCTGTTTTGGGCCTAGTAGATCTCCCTGCACTTATATCCCATAATGCAATGTGTGTGTGACCCCATGTGTGCCCTGCCCCCTTCGTATGCACGTGTGACCACCCTGTGCATGCGTGCATTTATCCCTGCATGCACAGCAGAGAATAGCTGGCTGGCGGGAGGTGCGTGCGCATGCACGGTGGAGTTGAGCTCGGGCGACGATTTGTGTGCCCGCACAGAGGGCTCTGCATGCCCCCTGTGGCACACGTGCCATAGGTTCACCATCACGGCCTTAACATGTTCATTGGTGATAGCAATTGTTTGGAAGATTTAGCAGTAAAAAGAAAACCAAGCTGCCAAATAACAGTGGTTGGATACCATCGAACATGACACCAGCCACAACATAGAACAACTCAAGAAAATAGTGCAAGATTGGAAGATGTAGAGAGACCTGGCCCATAGAATCGCCAAGAGTCGGACTTGACTGAATGGATAACATTATCATCAGCATTGCCTTAGCAAGTGACAAAAATTAAGAATGTGATTTAAAAGCAACTATATGTATTAGAACATAAGTTTTCTTGGATGGGATTTCAGTTCACTGGATCCATCAGCTGGCAGGTACACATAATTACTGATATTTGGAATTTGCCACAGATCAGCAAAAACTGGTGTCTTCCAATACAAAATTGGTCACATGGCAGTTATTTGTAGATTTGACATAATTAAGCTGGAGTTCATTGGAAATTGGAAATAGTTAATTATAAGGATTGTCCAAGACATTTATATACAGCGATGTATATTTTGCCTCTTCGTAAGAAACATGGAGTTAATGACAGCAGCCCAAATTGGAAAAGTGACCTTATTTCCTCTATTACATTCTTAAGACAAACCCCAAAGAGAAACCATTCAAGTTTATAGTTTTTTGCTTTTTAGGTTCAACACCTTATGGAATGAAAATCCTACTAGTGTTTAATATGATTCAGCACTGAGAAATCCAATTCCCATCTCATTTTTTTCCAGATCATTTTCTTGAAATATTATATTTAGAAATGAAATGATTCAACTTGCTTCCCTGTGCAATTGGCTAACAATAAAAATAAATAAATAAATCAGATCATATTTTAGTTTTCTTTATATTATTCACAGCCACCTCCCTCCCAGATGTTCTAGTTTGTATCCAATATTCCAATCTTGAGAAAGTGCAACTGCTCTGCATGCAACATCTTCCCAGTATGATGTCTAAAGAGATAAAGCAGTATGCTTGGATGATATCACTGCTGGGTAGTCTGAAATGGTACAAAAGAAACTGCATCTCAAGTTACGCATGAAAAGAAATCCTCTCAGTTGTGTTTGGAAGATCTTGCACTGAAGGTCTGTCACTTTTACATCTCTTAGGAAAAAATTTGCTTTCACTCTGGCAAAGCAGATTTCTTGATGGCATTTTTGGCCTGTTTTGTAATAGAGACCTGGATGTTTCATCGTCTTCAGAATGTTTCACTAAAATTGTTTTGTTGGGCCCTTTTGTAGTCAGTAAAGTAGCCAGGCGTGGTCTGCACAAATAAGCAAAACAAAGTAATTTTAAACAGCTATATCTTAAAATTGTTTTGCTAATCTATATATATATAAAAGCAACATACCACTCACGCATCATCACAAAATCCCCAGAACTGTAAAGCCTACAAGCTTGAATTTTGCCACATATGTTCCTCTTGGCTTCTAGGTGCTCACTAAGAAAGGATTTTTCCAAATGACCATCAGAGCATTAGTATTTCCGATATTATTATTAACATGCTCTGATGCTAAGGAGTTTTACTCCCCCTCCCCACCTGAAAAGAAATCTGTTCCAAATGCAAAACAGAAGCAGAGGAGAGGAGTTTCAGTTTCAATTTTACTTTCACAGCAACAAGCAGGGGATAGGATAGGGGAGGCTTTTGTGGGGCAAGGCTGAGGGAGAGAAGGGGATAGGATAGGGGAGGCTTCTGTGGGGCAAGGCTGCGGGAGAGAAGGGGAGAGGAGAGGCCAATCGTAACTACTCATTAGTTTTCTGTAAGTGTTGATTTATCAAGGCCGATCACATAGTTTTGTAGTGGAGTATGAGTATTCAGCTAGTTATATATATATGGTTCATAACAAGCTTGTTGATAATCCAGGCTGCCCACCAGAACAGAGGCCATGTTTTTTTAAGAATCAGTGAATCAGGATGTAAAACAATAGATAACTGGAAGCTGCTTATTTTGAAAAAGTACAAAATGTTATATATAAGGCTAAATATATTTATATAAGGCTAAATATATATAAGGCTAAGTATATTTTTCTTCCTGTGACCACATTCTTTATTCAGAATGCTTCTTTATATTATTTGCAAAATAATTTAAAGTATCTCTTAAATACTTTAAATTATTTAAAGTGAAGTGTTTCAGTGAAGTATTTCTTGATCTGGAATTGTACTTCTGTTTTGTTACACAAACTTGATTTTCTCATTAAAAACAGAAATCACAAAACAATTTTGGATGGAAGCATTAAGTCAGACTGAATAGATACTACATTTTACTTACCGGTGTCGGCCCAAGGATTTTAGATGTCGTTCACTCCTCAAATATTTTTCGGTGGGTTGACTGTATTTTTCTTCAGACATCAAAGGAAGGGAGAGCAGTAAATCTTGATTAATAGAAGACCTGTTCAGTTTAAGACCTTCTTCGCAGTTCCCGCCACCAATTTTGTTAGTTTTAGCATTCCTTGATGGTGACAATCCCTTTACTTTCTCTTTGGTTCCAGGTAAAGTACTTTTTTGTGTCTCAAGGAAAGCTGTAATGAAAAACAAGTAAATTTGAGACAATCTTTCCAAAGATCAATTTAACCTACAATTCAACAATTTAGTCTTAACCCCCTTTACATGATTTTTTTCTGTGACATATTAATAAATTCACTTTAGCCTATCCTACAGAAGAAAAATAATCTCCCACCCCGCAGTATCCTTCTTTCAGATCTTGTAGTCATGTGAGCATTTATCTTCTTATACTCAATTAGGAAAAAATGTATTTCAAGTTGGCCTTTGTGTCATAAATAATTATGTTCATTTATGATAATTCAAGCTGATATTTTAAAATTTTCCCAAATCCCCGTCTCTTATGAATAAAAGGATTCTGTGCTCTGCAGAGAATGTGTGCATGTCTGAGAGAAAGAGGGAGGAAAGGAAGGAAGGAAAGTAAATAAGTTTATTTGGCAGTAATATGGAAGTGACATGTCATTGCTGAGGGATTTTTTTTTGCTTCCCATTTT